ATTCGGTGTTGCTCCGGTACTTAAAAATGATCAAGAAACAAGTGACAACTGAGATCAGAGTAGACGCCCACGAACTCAATCCCCAGAGGTCACTGCGTAAAAACTCATTTATGTTTAACATATCAAGCAAATTACCCACACTACTCTGGCATCAAACCCGCTATCAAACTCATTTGAAATGTCGGTGCTCTTGATAGTCACTGTCTCAACGATAACTACTAAATAGCTTTCTAAATGTTATTTAATGACCGGGTTCTTAAAACGTGTACATTGTGCACCACGTATTGTTGCACCAAATGCCCCACCAATTTACCCCACTTCTGAGTTCTTGTGGAGCAGTTACGAATTTGTCCCCAGATGGGTGCCTTACACGCTATTTTGTGACTTCTACATTCACCACCAGGGATTGACCCAACAGTTGTCTCAGTTATATGAATAGTTTAGTTGTTCCTGAACTCAGGAGAAACAGGTACTGATTTGGACGAGAACTATCGGGAGTATTTAATTTAGCCAGGATACTCTGACACATCATCACATGACACTTGAGAATATTCCTCGGAATCTTCATTACTTCAAAGTGAAAAAGAAAGCTACTAAGATTTTAATGACTAACCTATTTTAGACGGTTCAATTTATTTTAATTATTATAATTTTTTCAACGGACATATCTACTATAATTTTCGCAAATAATTTTTGTATGACTAAAGATTTGCAAACAAAATTAGAGCACACAGTACATCTTGTTCTCATTTTTCTATCTTGGCTTCTCGAATATATGTGACATCAGCCTTGTGACTTCTATTTGATATCTGGTCTTGATTGGTCGGTTACTGTTAGTAAGAAAGCAAAAACGGAAATGAAATCCGGGAAACTTAAATTCTAAAAAGTGTAATACATACATACTAGTAGCTATACAATTCATAACCAAAAAGGCTATGTAAACACACACCCCACGCCAATATTGTTTAAAAAAAGCTGAATTATGGAAAAATTAAGATTCATATTACTACGTAATTTCAAATAAGTGCAAAAATTGAATTCAAATTATACAGCCTCCAGGCATATGACTGTATCTATGTTTTCGTTAGATACCCTGAAACGAGGGAAAATACAAAATTTAACAAAATAAAAAATTGAGCGGTTGAATCCTGAGTACACCCTACTCCGCAGTGACCGGATCTATTATACCAAGGTGTCACTAGGATTAAGGCGACGAACACAATGGAGACGATTTTTGCCGTAATTTCGGTCAACCTACGTCAGAGGGAGAAAACTAAACGAAGCAGATTTTCGACAAACAACTGGCGATGTTTTCCGATGGTTTCTGCAGAGGTTGTTCTTCATTATGACCATTTACGTCTTCCATCACATGTATGAACGAATCTGAACATCGGGCAAAATCGGCCGACGAAAATAACGGCAAAATAGGGTCCACCTTGCCCGCCGGCTTAACCCTAGCGATATCTGGGCATAAAAGGTAAAAGGTTCGCGCACTAGAGGGGGGCTCCGCTGTCAGACGCTTAAATATTTATGTTATCGATTCTTTGACGATTTTGAAAAATTTATGTATTAAACTAATATCTTAACTACCTACATATACCTCAAAATATATTTTGAAATTCAGTTTTCAAGTTAATAATCTGGGACTTTATCCATTGTAAAAGACTGTATTAATTCAATAGTGTAATAAACACTTGTGATAAATTGCAACATATTTTGAAACAAATATATATTTCTTAAAAAAAATATACTTATCAAAAGCAATCATCATTGAGTGACTAAAGCCCTCTTTCGAAATGCTAGTGTTATGCTTTCGAAAGAGTATGGTAGATTTGAGGGAGCATTTAAAAGAAAAAAATATAATAATAGCGATCATATAAAAGCAATATTCCGACTTATTCGTTCTCCTACAACACTTTAAGACATATTTGAAGTATATACAATACAAGTACAATATTAAACATACGAGTATATTCATTTGTTATCTGGTTCAAATTCATTCATATTTATTACCTAGAGAGGTGACTCAAGGCACAGACTGATGTCACCGACGTGCTTTTGTTCGGGAGGCCCTAAGTTTGAGTCCCGACTGTGGCAGGATTTTCGACACTACCTGTGAACACAGCTACGGCAAATTCAGGCGCTGCCTACAAGATAATTCTAGTAGCCGGATACTCTTATCGGTAGTTTCCCGTGGTTTCTCCGAACAACACCAGACAAATGCCGGAACAGTAGCCTAACAAATGGGCCACGGACCGCGCGTGATATTTATTACATATTCCTTGTCCTGTTCTCACCTCTACTTACATACACTATCATGCACTACGATACCACACATGACGGAAGATCGGTCGGAAACTCAGGGCTTTTCTCACCTGGGGCGGCGCCCCGCTCATGGGGGGAAACCCCATTCACCGATGGTAGGTCGGCGCCCGATCTCTCCATCATCGCCAATCCCGAGGAATGCACTTAGAGGACTAATAACCTTATCTGCTGACGCGCTCAAATCCCTAATCCATCAGTCAACTATTTAGTTAAAATTATCGTTAAGAACTTGCGTGTGGCAGATGGCGTCGTGCGCCGGGTGCGCGGCGTCGCTGGCGGCGGAGGGCGCCTACTTCTACGCGGGCGACGCGGCGCGCGAGGCGGTCTTCTGGCTGCCGCTGGCCGCCCTCCTCTGCTTCCTCGTCTCCTTCACGCTCGGCCTGGGCTCCGTGCCGGGCGCCATCCTCAGCGAGGTGTTCCACACCGACGTCAAGGCGGCCGCCACCGCCTTCATCTCCATGTACCACGCGCTCATGAGCTTCTGCATCGTCAAGTTCATGATGGCGCCCGTCTACGAGCTGCACCTCATGTTCTGGTGCTTCTCCGCCTTCTGCACCGCCGGCATCTTCTTCGTGTGGTTCCTCGTGCCCGAGACCAAGGGCAAGACGCTGCTCGAGGTGCACTACGAGCTGCAGAACGGGTTCGTCCTGAAGGAGATCAGCCCGGAGAAGGAGACGCTCATCAGCCCCGTTCGATGACGACGGACAAGTTAGGGATTCCAATAGTATCACCACGCACTGTCACTACGACTTCCTCTTTGAAATGTGGCAAATCATGTTTGCACAATTTCCAAAAGTATGGAACAAAAGTGAATCAGTGTGCAATTTTATTGTAAATATTTATACTGTGAGTTCCGGTTTTGCCCATTCACTTCTCGGAAATGATTGGGTTGACATCCACCTACTCCACGAAGAGCAATCAGCTGCTGCTTTTGAAAGGTTACGGCTAAGAAGTAAAGAATTTATATTCCAGTTGGCGCAGCGCGCTTTCTGTGAAAACTGTACGGAAGAAAAGTTATATTATAATATTCTTGACCCTTCCTACAATATTTTGTACTTTTACATTTCACCATCCGTATACCTTCGATTGTTTACATTCTATATTCTATTTCATGTTTTAATTGTAATTCTCCATCACGTTCGACTGTTTCTAATGTTATATGTATCAGACAATATTTTATTTATTTACCGGAGAATGTAACTTCACTGAAGTGACGAAATGTTCAGCCCATTTCGAATCAAGATAAGTTAAAATTATTCATTGATGCAAGGAACGCAAGGCTGAGCATTACTTACGGTGAGAATTTTATGAAGGGAAAGTCGCACCAAGCTCCATTACAATATGAC